CATACTAAAGCTAGCTGGCATCTGGAATGGCCTGCACTGTTTTGCACTTGCTTGGAGGACAGAAAGGAAGCCACCTCAGGACAGTTCTCATTCCTGCCGGACCCTTAGGAGTGTGAATGTCCTCCCAGCCACCTAGAGGTCATATGACTCTAAAAAGAACTTTGGGTCGGAGGACATTTGTTCTCTCAAGCCACTAACAAGACACACATTCCTTCTCCAGTTAACCTCCCTGCCAGGAAGTTGAGAGCAGCCAGCTGCTACCTGCAGCTCCCCAGCAGTCAGACGCCCTAATTTCTGCAATTCTTTCAAGCTCAGTTTCCACATCTGTGAGCCATCCACCCAGATGCTCAGGTAACAGCTGTTTTACGGCTTTCAACTGAAGCAAGAGTCTGAAAGTCACGTGGGGCCCGAGATGCTGTTACCTGGCTCTGGTTTGACCTCTGGCTCCTCTGCCCCTCAGTCCACATGTGGAGGCAGCGGCTGAACCTGTGTTTGCACGTGCTCTGCCCCACCAAGAGTGATTAGTGTAACTGTAAAAGCTGAATACTAAACCAAAGCTCACAGGCAGGAGCCAGTGCCCCCGCCCCGCCCTTCCCCACAGCATAACTCATTTTCTTAGCCTTCATTACCAGGGGTGAACTGCATGCTACAGTGTGGGCTGAGACTCGAGAAGGAGGGAGTCGTGGGGCTAGCATGCTCCCCTAATTAGCTCCCTCCTGTGGCGAGGCGTTCCGATGAAAACATCTCTCACGCTCAAACAGACCGCAGCTTCTGCAGGAGCTCACGGCCAGAGTTAATAACACACCTTGAGATGACTTAAGGCTGCTGTCCTACTACGCACTCCGCCTGTTAAAGAAAACTGTGTAACAATCAACTTTACTTGGCTCGGACTCCCCAGTAATCAACTTGTACACCCCAAGCTAATACACAGCTATAATCTTCAATTATGTGCTCTTCCATGGCCCTGGAATGCATTTGTGTTTGAGGTGTGTTATGACAATCATTTTCTGGAAACAGCAAGTAGGCTGAAAGCAGTTTAGTTTTTATAAATGAATACTCACCATAAATGTTGAACATGACATATGGACATTGCTTGATCAACAGTGATGCTGGTAGCAGTGTTTGCCATCTGGGTCAGCTGAGATCAGCTGGAGTCCGTGACTTAATCCCTTCTAAAACTCTGTTAAAGATTTCTGTAAATCATTCCTCATTCCATCCCCATGTGATGCTCTCTGTGCTGTTCAATAAAAGAGAGAGCAAGGCCCTTTATTAGGATAAAAAAGATAGGGACAGACAGATTCCCAAGACAGCGTTCAGGCAGGCACAGAGTCAGACGCATACAATAGACAGACAGGACCACAGATGATGCGGGGAACGTGAAGTAGAGAACTCAAGGCTGGGTTCACTCTTAGTCCATTGACTCCAAGGGGGATGCTTCAGTTCCTCCTTAATGCAACACTGATGCATTAATGGCCTCCCTGGGCTTATTATTAATGCATATCGAAGCATTCACACTGACCACATCTTGGTGCCTTCTTGGGGGGGAATCTCCAATGCATCAAATCTGTACGCTTGCCCACCCATTCCTTTCTTCTTGCCAGAAATGCCAGTGAGATTGCTGGAGTCGGCAGCTGTCCCATGACCATGAAGCAGGCGTGTGTGAGCTCTCACAGACTGTGGAGCTCTAACAGAAAGGCAGAAGCGCGGGGCGGGGGGGGGGGGGGGGGGTGGCGGTAATGACAGCAGAAGACTTCCGTCCAGCCCTGTGATGACTTTATCAACCCCCCCTCCCCCGCGCCCGGTAGGTGAGAAAAAAAACAAAACTTTAGCCTAGAAAGTTACTGTTTTGTTTTCTTAAAACCTGATTCTTGCAATTCAAAGTAAGTTCTAAGGGCTGGAGAGAAGGCTGAGTGGTTTAGGCCGCTGACTGCTCTGGCAGATAACTTGGGTCAGGTCTCAGCACCCACATGGTGGCTCAGAACCACCTCTAACTCCAGCTCCAAGGATCCTACCCCCTCTTCCAGTTTCTGTGAGCTCCTCCATGTGGTGCATGTAAACTCACACAGGCCTACACACACACACACACACACACACACACACACACACACACACACACACACATAAACAAATAATACATTTTAAAAGGGAGTCCCAGAGCCAGCAAAACAGCTCCATGGGTAAAGGGACTTGCTGCCAAGCTGATGACCTGAGTTCAAACCCTGGAGGCCACACAGTAGGAGGGGAGAACTGACTCCCACAACATGTCCTCTGAGCTCCCCTTATGCATCATGGTGTATGCCCCTCAAATAAATAAATAATGTAATAAAAATAATTAATAACTGTAAGTTTTAAATGGTAAGAAGTAGGCAAGGAGTTAGAGATGAGGTAACTGGAAAGAGCCACATCTGTACAGCTGTGTTTCTCATTGAATGCTCCTTTGTGCTTCAACGTCCTTGAGGCTGCAGACAGGTTGTGCTGAGCTGTGGCAGAAACTAAGGCACCGGGGCGCTGTCCTGTGCTGTCCACACCTCAACAGACCCAGTACCACTATTATATTGTTTGTGTAGCAGTATGACACCCCTCCCCTTTGGTGAACTTTTCTAGAGGATCATGGGGAAAAACACTCTCAAAAGGATATCCAGTCCATCATGATTTGGAAGGGGGAAGTGGCCACCTTAGGCCATCAATTCGCCAAACACCTCATACCTGTTCATAAACACGTACAAGCTGCTGTGTGGAGCCCACCTTGGGACAGTCTACTCCAAGCTCTCTTTAAACTATAGTACAAATAAACTCATACTCATAAAAATACAGCATATCATAAATGTGTTCTAGTAATGGGAAATCAAATTCAGAAAATGAAATACTCCTTTGGAGCTATACAGGTCTGATGTGACTGATGCAGCCACTTGGGGAGACAGTGCTGTCTGTCATTTAGGGACAGTAAACCATGAGGTCTTGAGCTCTGCACAAACCAGGGTCCCCAGCAGGAGTGGACAGCCGCCATACTCTCATGCCTGTTCATCCTTTTGACATCAACTCAACCGGACGGTGTCCTCTGCGATGTTCATGAACCAGAACCATGCAGCTGAGTTACAGCTGAACATCTTGATGAACAATTAATCTCACAAAAGACTCTCACAGCCTTTTGAGTCAGTTGCTGGGGTAGTGTTGACCACATCCATAGCTGGTCTCAGCCTTGGGTTGGACACCCCTGTAGTCATGGCTCTTTCCCTGGAGGTCAAGGGCTTGTAGTCACAGACTTCCAACAAAAGCCAGGTTTATCCACGATGGAAACAATATGGGAGAGCTAACTCTAGGATCCAGGAGTCCTTGGGACACTCTGGGATCCAAACACAGCTCACTGTTGATGCTGGCTTCTCCATCATCCCATTGCCCGCTGTGTAAATCTGTCAAACCAGCCAAGCCTGCCTCCTTGAGGGGTTAGTCGTGGTTCTTTCTTAGTTGTTGAAGGTGGTTGAAGAGGACCTGGATTTCTCCTGCAGAATCCACAGCCTCGGGGGCCATGCTGATTCCCAAGACTAGACTCAGAGAATAATGAGTCTGCGTTCTCTTTCCAGTGTGCCTTGACCTGTTCCTTCAAGACCAGCTCATGCCTGCAACTTACACTCTAGGTTTATCCATCAGTCATTGTGAGTTAGAAGAACTTACTAGAATGCAAAATGAATGGAAGAAAGAGCAGCAATGGAGGGATTGAGGACCCTCTTGTGGAGTGAAGGTCTGCCTTGTTTAAGGCATAGAGAATCAGAGCATGATGGCACCTGACAGGAATCCAAGCCCTTGGGAGGCAGACGAAGAAGGTTCAGGGCCAGTCTCAGCTACAGGGTGAGATCAAGGTCAGCCTAGACAGCCTAAGATACTCAAAACAAACAAACAAACAAAAAAGGTGGGTTTTTTTCTTTTAAAAAGAATATACAGAAAAACTCCCATGTTTTAAAAAGATTTTTTTTAATTGTTTTTAATTATGTGTTATGTGTGTGTTTGCATGTAAATAGGTTCACAGGAGTGCAGGAGCCTGTGGAAGCCAGAGGCTGACGGGAGCCATACCCTTGACTCACATGCCGCCATATTTGGGCTTCTCTCCTCTTTTCTTAGATCGAGGCCTTGCTTAAATCTCCATAGCACCAGAACCTCTTCTCACAGATACCAGAACCTCTTCTCAGACATCAGGTGAATGAGCTGCAGTTAGGCAATTGGGCAGATAGGCAAGAGTAGATAGATAACCTTCAGAGCAACATTTCCTGCTGGCCGAACAACCCATGATTAAAGTCCCCTCCCTGTTTGCACCGCCCACCCCCTCACCCCCCTACCCCCTCACCCCCTCACTCCCTCCACCTCCCCACCCTCCCCCGCTTTGCCCTGCCTAAATATGCCTTAAGAAAAAAATAAAATTGTGGAGCTTGATCAGATGTCCTGTCTTGCTCTCATTCTTTGTGTCTCTTGTCCCTCTCATTCACCGGCCCTCCCTTCAGGTCCCTGTTGAAGACCCCGCTGGCTGGGGCAAGAGGCATCAGGTCACTTGGAACAACAGCCGTGGCCTGAAGTGGGTGCTGGGAACTGAAGGGGTACTCTCTGGAAGAGCAGCATCCCGAGCATCTCTCCAGCCTCTCCCACTGAGTGGGCATGCACAGAAGCACTCATGACACCAGGAAAACATATAACGGTGAACTGTAGCTAGAGTTTTCCTGCTTTGCCCACAGTCAGGACAAATCTCTGTCACCCGCCAGTCCCACAGCCGCTCAGACCCAAC